GACCTTTACTCAGAGAGAGAAACAGAGAGAGAGAGAGAGAGAGAGAGAGAGAGAGAGGGAGGGAGGGGGGGGGGAGAGAGAGAGGGAGAGAGAGAGAGAGAGAGGGGGGGGGTGAGAGAGAGAGGGAGAGAGACAGAGAGAGAGAGAGAGAGAGAGAGAGAGGGGGGGGGTGAGAGAGAGAGGGGGAGAGAGAGAGAGAGAGAGAGAGAGAGAGAGAGAGAGAGAGATGCCAAATCCTCTTTGATCTGTGCCAACCTTCTCTTCAGCCACCTCCCCTTCTCTTTCCTTGTTTTCTCTCACTCTTTCCTCTCTATCCCTCTCTCTTTCTCTCTCTCCCTCCTATTTTTTCTCTCACTCTGTCCTCTCTGATTTTCCTTTGTTTCTCTGCATCTCTCACTTCTTTTTTTTCCTCTCACTCTTCTTTTTTCTCTCGTAACTTTTCCTCTAACTCTTTCTCTCACTCACCCCCTCTTTTTTCTCTCTATCTCACGCTCCTCTTTATTTCTCACATGCTATGCTATTTTTTCTGTCACTCTCTTTTCTCTTTCACTCACACTCTCTCACTATGTTTATCTTTAACAGAGAGAGACAGATACAGAGAAAAATAGAGAAATAGAGATACACAGAAAGAGATAGAGAGGGATATGTACAGAGAGATATCGATAGAGAAAAACAGAGAAAGAGATACAAAGAGAGAGAGAGAGAGAGAGAGAGAGAGACAAAGATATACACAGAGTAATAGCGATAAAGGTACAGAGAGAAAGATAGATAGACAGATATATATATATATATAGAGAGAGAGAGAGAGAGAGAGAGATAGAAAGAGAGGGGGGTGGGTGGAGAGATGTTCCAGATTTTGGTCCAGTATGCACATACACATACAGGGAGATTACTGTGCTCCTGTGCCAGAGACTGAGAGACTGCAGCCCTTTAAAACTCTGCCAAAAACCACACACACACACACACACACACACACACCCAGCTGCGTGTACCTGCTGCTGTCAGACAGCTAAACACAGTTAACACCTCAGGAATGGAGGGATAGAGTTTGGTGTATAAACGAGTCTGCTCTTTCTCTCCTCTCTGCACTGGAGTAACACACTCAGCTCTCTGGACTTCATACAGTGAATCAGCAGAGACGCAGCAACTTACTGCACAACGGCTAAAACGAGTAAAGCTGCAACTTCCCTGCAGCTCACACCTGCATGCATATCAGCACCAATATTTTGCTGTTCTGTGGTTTGATAAGCTGGAACAGACAAACGAAATCACCAGCAGTGCCACAAAAAAGAGAAAAGAAATATATACATATATACACATATACACTGCACTATATAATACATGCTGCACTGCACCACATCCAGTTAATCAGGACTAATTATGAGCACTTTGCAATGACACATGCAGCTGTTCAGTGTTATTTAAGCAATGATCTCCATGATATAGTCAAAAAAACCTACGTGACATGATTCATCACAATAATGATAATATATCATCATATTGCCCAACCTTATTTATCCAAACATATCCAGACAGCCCTTCTAATTAGCGAGTTCAGCGACTTTAAGGTGCACCCATTCCTGATGCACTTTCCATTGCACCACTGAAAAACAATGACCAATAGAATGGGACGTTCTGAAGTAGCTGCATGTATCACCATGCCCAATGTCAAGCGTGGTCTAGAGAGGTATAAAGCCCCCCCAGCATTGGACTGTGTGGTTCTCTGGAGTGATGGAGCTCCATCCAATACCTTTGGGATGAGTTGGAGTGTCCAGAACTGATCCAACATCAGTGCCTGACCTCACTAATGCTCTACTGGCTAGTAGTGGCTACTACTGCAGCAAAGGTGGACGAAGCAATGCTGAGTGAGCAGGTGTCTACAGACTTAAATATAGAAGGTATATTACAGTTAACTGTCAGGTCATGTGTGCTATGATCTCTGGTCTGACTGGCTGCGCTGTATTGTGCTTTATTCAAAATGCAGACCAGGCTGACACACCTATTCTAACTTCAGTGGGAATGGGTGGGGCTAAACTGCTGTAGGCTGAATAGGCAAAGCAAGGCAACTATTTATATAGCACCTTTCATACACTGCTGTCATTCAAAGCGTTTTACAAACGAGAAATTACAGAGTTGTTTAAAAAACAAAAAGCAGAAAATAGAAATTTAAAACATGATTAAAACAATGGATTTAAAATTTAATTAGAAGTTAAACTAGGACTGTATAAAAATCTAAATCAGAAACACTACCCGTGTTTAAACTGAGCCGAAAGCTGCTGAAATAGCAAAGTTTTAAGCCTGGATTTTAAAGTGTCCAGTGTCGGGGCTCTTCTAATGCTCCCTGTCCCCTGGTTCCATTTAACAGCAGCCAAACGCTGCTTCTCTATGTCCTCACCTTCAGCAGGACTAACTGACTAATTCCTAATGATCTGACAGTTATGCTTGGCTCATATCGCTGCAACATATGACATAAATACGCTGGTCCTGCACCACTGAGCGATTTATAGTCCAGTAATAGTATCTTAAAGTCTATTCTGTAACAGACTGGTAGCCAGTGTAAGGATTTAAGAATGGGGGGTGATGTGTTCCCTTCTTTTACTCCTAGTGAGACTCTAGCAGCTGCATTCTGAATCATCTGAAGCTGTTTGATTGACTTTTTGGGTTTTTTTATTTCAAAAGATCAAGGAGAATGTGGTTTTCCATGATGAAAAACACTGGAGTACTCCTCTAAATAACATTCCAGGCCTCTACACTGGACACAGTGCTGAGAACAGAACACAGCACACATACACAAACGCAGACTCTGACCTTTCTTGGCCGTCTCCATCTCCTCTTCTGTCCAGCGGGAGCTTTCATTCATCTCCAGATTTGCTGAAATGAAAAAAATCCTGATTAAGGGCTGAAAGCTCTTGAATTACTCTACATTAAACTCGCTGGCTCGATCGCGCATCCTATATACATATATTCAATTTCCAAGGGCATGGGTGAATAAGGGCTTAAGGAGAGGGAGCTCAATAAGGTTCAGTCCATTCCACTGAAACATCTTAGGTAGTGTTTTCAGAAACGAAAACTCCTGAGCAGTGAAAAAAGTGACAAGTTCAGAAACCAATTTCCTGTATGGCACATTCTTCAGCATCACTCCAAAGAGAAAAAGTTTAGAGATTTTAACGTGTAATTCTAGTGCTAATTACTGTAAAATTACTCAGTTCATTGAGTTCAACAACTATGAAACTAAAAGTAATATCTAAATGCTGTATTATGTTCTAAGTATTTTGATTTATTGGTTAAGAACCTTGGTCTTTGTGCCGGATTATCGTGTTTTTTAATGAGTGTTTCGTTGTCTGATGACGTGTTTTTGTGTGTGTGTGTGTGTGTGTGTGTGTGTGTGTGTGTGTGTGTGTGTGTACTGACCCAGTTCATTGCTGAGTGGAGGTGAGCTGGTCTCCTCCTGCTCATTGGCCATAGAGCGGGTGATCCTGCCTTTGCGGTGTCCGCGGCTGTTGGCCGTGCGGCGTCCTTTAACGGCTACCGGCGGCTCTTTATCTTCACCATCCTCTCCGGACGTGTCATCTCTACACAAACACAGGAGAGAGAGAGCAGAGGGGGGTTAAAATAACCTGCATCTTCTCTGCCTGCATCACCATCACTCTGCTTCTATTTGTCACCATCAACTCATTGGTTATCATCGCTCACATCATTATAACTAGATCACAAACAAAAACTCAATGAAACTAGCAACTCTCAGCCGAGGGGTAAATTACTTACTCAAGGTCACTAAAGGTGGGTTAGTATAATCAGGTAACTTAAAATCATATTGTGGTAAAGTCTGATGAGTATATACAGGGAAACGGCGTTCTGGAATAACAGCGATATATAGCCCCAAGTGGCAATCACAGGGGTCCAAACACTATGAGCTTGGCAGAGGAGGCTCTAACTCGCCATTAATATCCAAGGAGTGGGTGACACTGCAAAAAGATAACATCATGATGATTCACGATATTTTCATAATACACAATATGACTCAGGACATTTAGCTTTTCTGAGGTTTGATAAGTTGAAAGAGACAAAAAGGGACCAGTAATGTCACACCTAAAAAATACCACCAAAATTTCCAATGTGGTAATTTAAAACCAAGTTTCACATACTGCATCACACTAAATCCAATCAAACAGGATTAGTTATGCTATCATTGTAATGAAACATGCAGACATCCAGAATTCTTATCAGGATATGCTCAGAAAAGCTCACTGTGACCGTGGGACAAAGCTGATCAAAACAATCATCAGTATCATCATTTACTTCCCACCCAACTGACATCTCCATCACATGCTGCGATATCATAACCACCTGCTGCGATATCAAAGCACAAAGAATGAACAGAAAACCATTAAAAACATGCAGACATCTTTAAAACGCCCTCTGCGGTAGACTTTTGGAAGCTAAACAGATCAGGATCTCTGAAAACAGAGAGTGTGCTGTAACAGTTTCTGGCAGCTGTGCTGGATAAGCAGAAAACACAGATATCACTGCAGCACATCAGCACTGAAACCAGTCATGGCAGCATAATTTAGTCTATTACCTTTTAAAATGAAACTTTCAGTGGCACTTGCATGTTTCTGTACAAGACTGCAGTCAAATGAAAACCAACAGTAGAGCGCGCTCACTAACAAAGAGCAAAGGGAAGAACACCACCTTCAAAAAAAAGTGTCAGATAGTTCGAAAACTGAAACTGTGCTGTCCGATCATGAGGGCTGATCTATTTGAATGCCTTTTTCTCTTTTACTAAACAGCAGCGTTCCACTAACTTTCTGCTTCCTGCCGTTTACTGTTGGATACAGTTTTATTTCTACTGTTTTACTGCATTATTTAAATATACTGTGAAATACTTTGAGCTGCATTATGAACTGTAAAATAGTAGTAAATAATAAAGTAATAAAGTAGTTAATAAGCATAAGTTCTACTACTGTTATTTTTCAAACGCTCTAAAGGAGAGTCCCACAAATTTACACTGATACCGGTGACTGAAACCACAAAGCATTTCCGGTGTGGGACGACAAGCAGCAGTGAAAATGCTAATGGCAGAATCTATAACGTCAGTGTTTGGTGTGAATAACACGCTAAAGGAGCCATTTACCTGAACGGCTGAGTTGCTTCTTTCAGTAATCACTGGTCTGCCACTGTCTGGTCACTTACAGTCTGAGTTAATGTTATTGAAAGAGCCGAAGGAACCGCCGGACTCTCGGCGTAATGATGCAAGCCTTTTGCCTTGATTTAACCTTTAGCATAGCAGCCTGCTAGCCAGGCCTGTGCATCCATTAGCCCCGCGTGCAGTGCGCCTCCGTCTGTCAGCTGTATCACTCAGCGGTGGGGTCTCGCAGCCCGTCGCTTCAACCAAGCTAGAAAAAACACTAAAAGTTGCTGATACTGACAGCGTGATCGGCGATGATATTTACTGAACTGACGCGATGCAGCACGAGTGAACAAGATGCATGTATGAGACAAACGACTTGAGAAATTTGGATGTGAAACAACATTCAGCTCAGTTTTTGAGCCAGAGAAGCTGCTGTGTGCTGATGTGTAAACACCATAGGTTTATCTGTACACTGTTCAGCTCTGTTTTTCACTGTTCTGCATAATAAAGATATTTTACATTTACTTAAGTTGATAAACATGGTTCTGATTACTAATTATATAATACTAAATACTAAAAATATACAGTAAATAAACAAAAAAGTTTTTTTAAAGCATGTAATAAAAGTAAATCAACAAGTAAATGACATCTAGCTGAGCTGAGTGTGTTTTATATGTGATGCGAAACACAGATTTTACCAAAATAAAATATTAAAAAAAGAAATGAAATGTATAAATGTCAGGACTTATGGGTGAGTTAGGTTGGATAGAGTTAGTAGCAATACTCTGTATCAGCCAATGGTTATGAAACCGCCTGAGGCTGAGGCTGTTTTATGATAGTTTTGAGATAAGATTTCGTTTAAAACTTCATTGTTGCGTTGTAAGGTAGAACAATATCCAAGTTTAGATTTACCACCGTGTTATCATCATCAACATTACAAATAAAACACGTGTAGGTTCACTGGTGGTTTTGGATGGTAAATATAATCGCTATATTTGTGTTGTTGTCATGGCGACCCCTGGTTCTTATCACCACCACTGTAATGAAACCTGAGTATCTTCAATAAACCACTTCACATCAGAACACTACATACAACTTTGTTTACATCTCAACAATTCAATACGGCAAATTCCTCTTTAAGGAAGCTTCAGCAGTTTATCTGCAACTCCTTGGTTTATTTAGTGTCCTAAATTAAATAACACAGGGCTAATTATCACTGCAGCTGTCACAGAGCACAGCGCTAGAGACAAACAGCAGCAACACAAGACACAAAGACACACACAAACACCCAGAGAGCAGCAATCTTGGAGTTTTTCACCCGGTATCAAGTGCATTCACTAACCGCAGCAGACCTTAGTGACAAAGAAGTGGCAATGGAAACGGTGCACCTTCATTTATCTTCCGCTGCCCACCATCTATCTTGCAGAGAGGGACACTAAATATAGGAGCACCAGCTGGGCCCGCGGCGCCGTGGAGGTAAAAAGTGGCGAAGGGCACCGCGGGCCTTAGAGGGCTACAAAGACCCAAGTGGAAACCAGCGTGTTCTGTGCCTAATAGTGGGACGTCCAGTCTCAAACGGCATGATACATTCCAGTAATCACATGCAGCATCACCGTCGAGAGCAGTTCTGCTGACTGTGGCTGTTTGCTTAAGATGAACACACAGAGTGCTTTCCCTCGTGGATGTTAATATAGACCGCACCTGTGAATGTGTCACTGTGAACACTGAAGCAACCTGTTCAGGGACCTTCTGTATAATTAAGAAATGTGCAGTATAGACCCAAGTTATTGTGCACCGGAGATTTCACTGACGTTAAAGGGCCTATAGGCTTTTTCGCATTTTATTCCCTTAAAGGAGTACTCCACCAATTTTACAAAATTTCTTTACAGCTCAGTTCTTGAGATGTAAACAAAGTCATTCAGAGTGATTTGCTGTGTATTGTTGTAGAGACACTTACAGACTCAGATTTCTTTACAGTGGTGGTGATGAGAGGCAGGGGTCACAATGACTACAACACAAATATAGCCATTTTATTTACTATTCAAAACCACCAGTGAACCCACACGTGTCTTCTGAAGTTTTATATGTAATGTTGATGAACGTAAAACAGTGGATAATCTGAAAAAAAAATAATTTTCTTTGGGGATTATTGCCTATGCATGTACTGCTCCACCATGAACGGACATAAACAAATAAATCAACAAGATGTTTTAAGCCAAAACTTTATCACAAATCTACTGTAAAACAGTGTCTCAGGCATCAGACAGTGTATTCATAACCACGTCACAAAATTACTTTCTGTAAGGGAGCTTTCATAGGTGGACGTCTGGTTCCTATCACCACCACTGTGCACAATTCTGACTAAGTTTCTCTAGAACGGAGCATTTCACACCAAACAACTCTGAATGACTTTGTTTACATCTTAGCCATTTAATTATGTAGAAACTTTGAAATAGTGGTGGAGTTCCCCTTTAATAGCATTTGTGTGGTTTGCTTTTGTACCAAACACGTTAAAACATTTGTTTGGTTTTCCATACCAAAACAGTAGTACCTGATTTTCACAAGTCCATTTTTCAACCTCTCTGGATTCCATAGAATTAAACAGGTGTTTATTGTTTCTTTGCCTTTAAGACTGATCTATGTAAACTACCTGTGTTCTCATTGGCTGCTCTGTATTTGCCTCATTCAGTCCAGGCTGAAATGTGCAGTAACACCCTATTCACTTCAACGAGGGAGGTTTTGAGTAAATGTGTGCATGGTTGTGACATCACAAACCTGATGAACTCAAAACAGGCTGTTTTTCGGCTGGAGAGTTAGCAGGATGCTGTTTTAAAATGTCTACTCCGCATATTCAACTCTATTTAAAAAAAAAAAGGGGGAAAAATTCAGTTTTCTGTGATACCGGCCCTTTAATGTTACAGCAGGCCTGCGTTGCATGCTGAGTTGTGGTTGGCATTTTGCTTTTACTCAGAGTGGCAGATCAGCTGAAGGTTTTTTTTTCCTACCTGACCCTTATATAACTGCTTACTTCACTCACACAGACATGAAAACAACCTAGTGAAGAAAACACTCAGAATAGTAATGAAACTCATGAGAGAAAGAGAGAGAGAGAAAAGAAGAGAGAAAGATGGAAACAAAAACCTAAAAAGAGCTGGATTGAGAGTAGGGCTGTACAATATACATATATATAATTTGTTAATCACCAATATAAAGTTTGCTAATTGTTATTGCAATAAAAATAATACTCTCGTGATCTTACCCAGGTGTGTAATACACAAATGAGTCCTCTAACCAATAACAGAATGTTTCATTGTGTGCTGACCAATCAGAGTTGTGCTTTGGGTGTTTGTATAAATCATAATACAAATGATTTGGGTAAAAATAACGAGCGCAGTTTGAATTTTTATTTGTTTTCTGAGTTTAACATATTGGAAACAGATCAACAAGATGTTTTAGACCAAAACTTTATCACAAATCTACTGTTAAACAGTGTCTCAGGCATCAGGCTGTGTATCCATAACCATGTCATGTAATAACTTCCTGTGAGGGAGCTTATAGAGGTGGACGTCCGGTTCGTATCACCACCACTGTGCACAATTCTGACTCTAAGTTTCTCTAGAACAGAGCATTTCACACCAAACCACTCTGAATGACTTTGTTTACATCTTAACCATTTACTCATGTAGAAACTTTGAACTAGTGGTGGAGTTCCCCTTTAATAGCATTTGTGTGGTTTTACATACCAAAACAGTAGTAACTGATTTTTACAGGTCCATCTCTCTTGATCCCTTAGTTGTTTTTGTTTCTGTGCCTATGTTAATTAACTCTGTCCTCATTGGCTGCTTTGTATTTTGCCTCATTCAGTCCAGGCTGAAATGTGCAGTAACACCCCTAATCACTTCAACAAGGGAGGTTTTTGTGTAAATGTGTGCAGTTTGAGCTTCTATTTCTTTGCTGAGTTAAACACATTGGAAACAAATACAAAAATAAAGAATAACCTGCATCTTTTCTTTTATTGTCATGTTATGTTTTATTTTTTTTATTACAATATTTTAAAATAATTAGTAATTGTGCATTAAATGTGCAGAGGTGTGTGCTTTGTAGAAGACGTTATTTTCACGTTGAACATTATTTGACCAGGAGCACCCAAACTTTTGCAAAAGACTGCAATGTGATGTGCTTTTATCAACAAACATGGCCATGCTGCATCATCAAGGGTGCTTTAGTATAAATCATATACAGTAAAACAATCACAAATACAGTATTTTATCCATATAATTCAGCCCTGCAGGGGCAGTAATACTCACTTCATTCCATCGTCTTTCTCGTCTCCCTCTGTTTTGTCCTCGTCTCTTTCTACCTCCTTCTCTTTCTCCTTGTCCTCCTTCTCCTCCTGGTGGTTGCGATTCACCTGTTGTTGTTGCTGCTGCTGCTGCTGCTGCTGCTGCTGGTTATGCTGTGATAGAGAGAACACACCGTTATAAACCAAAACGTCCATCAGCTCTCAACACCCAGCAGCTAAAGCACAAGTTATAGGAAAGACGTACAGCAGAAAGAGACGCTCGTTTGATCTTACTAAGTATCAATCTTTAGGATCTCGCGAAACCTGCTTAGCTGCATGATTTAACACACACGACTGCACTGAGCAAAGAAATTAACACTTTGCTGAAACCACATGAAACCAGCAGCCTGTATACACAAACCTCCTTCCTCTGCGTCAGACTTCACACAGGTCAGAGTTCACAGAGACACAGATGCAGACAGAGACATTTACAACGTCACAGCACAAACAGGGCTGGACTGATATGAAAATTACCACAGATGACATTTGAAAGCCTACATGATCCAACCTTTAATAGTTTTAGTTCAACAGAGCTTCACTGACTGATCTGACTGTTAGCTGTTCGCTTCCCACAATTCTTAGCAGTTTTGTTGGTTTCTGTTAATTAGCTCCTGTTTGCATTAGTTTCCTTCATATAAAAAACAATTAGGTCATGCTAAACGTTAGGTTGGGACACATTTTACAAGTTTTTGTTATTTATTCATGATTTTCTTGTGTGTTTTGTGTTGCAAATTTCCTGTTCAGTCTGCACTGCTATTATAAAGAGGAGCAACTGATTCATATCAACTCAGCAGGCTCTGAAGAGACTGGAATAAGAGCATGAAAGCATGACAATCATTAGAAATAGCCGTTTCTACTTATATTGCAGTTGCTCATTTTATACGACATTAAAAAACTCATAGTACTCCATTTTCTAATGGCATTTTTATTTATTTTTTTTCCTCCCTTCAGAAGTCCGCTTACAATATTTGTGTAGTTGTGTACCAAAAACAGTCATAATCCATTCTTACATGAACCGAAATGAATTAATTCAAAACAGACAGCTCAGTTTACTAAAAGGACTGTATGGACTGGTAAGGTAAATAGCATACTTTAAAACTTAAAAAAAATGTCTGCATACTGCATCAACCTTATTTATTTGTGGGAAAAAGTAAGTATAATTATTTTTTCTTCTGCAGGGCCCCCTTGTAGCAATCCTGTCGGCAGAATGGAAATCAAATACTTTCTACCTCCTATAACTCTGTTATCAGATCAGCTGGAACACTTGTCTGTGTGTGCGAAATGTTGAGCTGCCAGCAAGCAATGAGGTATAAAAGGGGAGAGAGAAGAACCCCCTGCTCTGAAAACAGTTCACATCTCTCCACAAAGATGACTAATGCCCAATCCCCTTGTCCTTACCCCTCTAGGCATAGGTGTCCTGATTTTTGTTGAGATAAGACGGTTTTTCAGAAAAAAAAACAGCAAGATGGTATTTTCTCTGTTAAAAATTACGACAATTACAGCAATTGTATTATCTTAGTTTAATGTCCTTTCAATGTATTATGGTCCTTTTCTTCATAACAAGCATAAAAAAATAATAATCACTAGTAGTTTGCTGATGTCTTGGTAGCTAGCTAGTGAAATTTCCCGTTCCACCTTAAATGGTGCAGCAGTTACATTCTGGCGCCTCAGGCGTCAGAACTGCTGCCCCATTTAAGGTGGAACGGGACAATTCGAACAAGAAGCTGGTGAATATCTGACTTCAGCTTCATATGACTGAAGAATTAGGGGTGGGCAATGATCAATAATTGTCATATCCCCCCTCTTTGAAGGCATATGACTCCCTAAATGTAACTAAACCCAGCAGTGAGGAGCTGAACTTTACCCTCCTCTGCTGTCACTGCAGACTGCCAGTGTTGCCTACAGAGCAGCGCTGGTAGCTGTTAATGAAGTAATGCTCTTCTTTATTTGAGGGTCCCATTTTATAGGGGAAGATGTCAACCACTACCCCTTGTAACTCAAGTTTCAAGGGGCAGAGTGACACTCAAACACAGGAGGTAGGGGTAAAAATAAGAAATGGGACTGGGAAAAATTAACTGCCTCCTTCACTCACAATACATCCCAAAATACAACACTCAACACTTGCTCTGTCTCACTCTGACACACAAACATGCTCTGCTTTGACCTCTCACTGTACTAGTGAGTGACAGCAGAACAAGAGGGCTAAAATAGAGAGAATCCACAGAGAAGCTGGTCCTGTATCCTCCCAGTTATTCTTCTTTATCTCTGGGTTTTCTTTCCTGAATTATGACCCAACACAGAGCCATCCATTACTGTCAGAGAGAAAGAGTACTACACAGGCTGGTGCAAAGGGGAGAAAACAGATAACAGAGGGATGACAGAAAGAGAGAATCTGAGGGGTGCAGAGAAAAAGAGGATCGATTGGGGAAAAAAGAATGAAAAATGACAGGAGTATCTCTCTCTCTCTCTCTCCCTCTTTTCCGCTCCGTCTATGTGCCCTCATTCTGCCTTTGAGTTTCTCGGTGTGACAGACAGCAGCGAGGGACACCTCAAATAACCCTCGCACGCGCACGGGGCAGTTACAGACGCACTCAGCCGTGCAGACTCACTCAGCCGCACAATAACACGAGCAGCCTGACTCACGCTCGCTCACTGTGTGTGGATTAGAGATTTTATAAGGCTCTGTTATGAAAAGGTGATATTTAATGACCCACGCAAACAACTGAAAGGCCACTTTCAAACATTTACGCTGCACCTAATTTAGGGCTGCAATGAATATTCGGCAACATCTGACAAAGATGATGACCAAACGTTCAAAAACTATGAAGCTGATCAAATAACGGACACCTTCTTTTACTTCTGTAGGGAAACAAACGTTTGTTTATCAGGCTAAATGCTAGCTAGCCACCGCTAGTATGCAGCTGCCACCTCTGCGCACTGGACTCTTTGGAGATGGTCAAGGCTTGCGAGACTTTTCTGATTCAAATCTTTGTTTGCTGCACTGAAATTGCAAAAACGGCCAAAAACGTTGACTAAAAACAACAAAAATTAAGGCTACAACAAAAAGACTTCACAAATGATTTAATGGTAAACAAAGCAACATTCGTTCTTTTCACTCTCCTGCACTAGTCAGTGCAGACGCATTCAAACTGAGCAGCAGCAAATCAACAATGAAAATGTGGTGTAGAAATATTTCACAGCTTCTACAAGAGACACGAGAGGGACATCAGCGCCAAAGACCAAACTATGACTCTGATGACCAGTCGTTCACCCATGGCGGAGGATGCTGGATTTTGCAGAAGCTCCTTTATGTACACAAACTGTACTTATTTACTGTCCGATTTTAATATCAATGCACCACTAATTTAAAAATGAGCAATGTCTTTACTATAACTACTACAATAGCTAGAAAGTGAAAGTTTGTGAGCGAACTTTAACTACGTTAAAACGTTAAAATGGGGGAAGACTGCTGATGGCTGTTAAAGCGTTGCTTAGATGTTGCTAGGCTGTTGCTACAGCATCCAAGGTGGATGGTAACGTATTGCTAGGTGCTGCCTTAAACTGCTACCTTAAATAGACTGTCACTTTAAATTCAATGCCAACTTAAATGTAATCATAACTTAAATTCACTGCCACCTTAAATTTACTGATACCTTAAATACACTGCCACTTTAAATTTACTGCTAATTCTATAACACTGGGTAATGTAGTCACCTGGCTGCGGCCTCTGCGGCGGTAGCTCCTGCGGACAATGTTCTTGTAGTTCTCGTTCTTCTTTGTCAGGTAGTAGAAGAGGACACACTCGGCTACAGTCTGAAAACACACACACACACACACACACACACACACACAGGGAACTCTCAGAATGTCTCAAACAACTCTGTGTTTTCCACTGTGTTAATAAATTCCTCAGAGGGGAAGAGACCGTAAACAAAGAGCTGGAGGGGGAGATAAAAATAACAGGGCAGGTGTACCTTTCTCTCCAGAAACGAGGCAATCAGGCCAAAGTTCTTTGGGTGCTGGATAAATCTGGAGAAAGAGAAAAAGCTTGTGTCAGACAATATGAAGGTCATCTCACCCACCCACACAAGCACCCACAGATACAAACACAAGGCAGACCTCTCACTTCCACTCTAACACAGCTCTCTACACCTGTCACCTACTCACAGCTGATCGTTTGTTTTGTGTGGAGATGCTATTTCTCTCCAACTTTCTCTCAGCATAGCAGATGCATACAAACACTGCAGAGAAGCAGAGTGCAATTTACACTGCACTCATATAGATTTAATGGAACAAAACTTTCAACGTCATTTAGTGAAGTTAACAGCTTCAGGACCAGCTTAGTGACTTTTCACCAACTTATTGTTTTCCAGCTAATTGAAGATGTAATTTCATTGATGTTAGCTGAAGTAACAGACAATTACCACTTTAGATTCATTTCTTTCTTTGTGTAAATTTCAAGCCACATGTGATTTATTACAGCGCTGAGCAATGCTGGAAGTGGAATGTTTGCCTTCATTGACAATAAGAAATTCTGCAGACCTTGTGTACTTCTGAATATAAATGACTGCTATTACTGTTGAGGTGCTGTCGTTTATTGACTAGTTATTTCTTTTATTTAAAACTTCATGTATTTTTCAATTCTTTGTTTTATTAGTGTATTTATATAATTATGTATCAACAAAATTTTACTGTTTTACCAACGTTGCTTTAACCTCAGTGTAAAGCACTGTGTTAACACGTTTCTTTAGATAAAATCTGTTGTTGTTGGACGAGAATGAAGGTGAATTTAGTATCACTGGACCAGAACCTTCACCCCAAAACACACACAAACACACACACACACACAAACACACACACACACACAAACAAACAAACAAACACACACACACACAAACACAAACACACACAAACACACACACACACAAACACACACACCACAAACACACACACACACAAACACACACACACAAACACACACACAAACAAACACACACAAACAAACACACACAAACAAACACACACAAACACACACACAAACACACACAAACACAAACACACACACACACAAACACACAAACAAACACACAAACAAACACACAAACAAACACACAAACACACACACACAAACACACACAGACAAACACACACAGACAAACACACACAGACAAACACACACACACACAAACACACACAAACACACACACAGACAAACACACACACACACAAACACACACACACAAACACACACACACACACAAAACAGCGCACATACTTCTCCCGGAAAGTGTCCTTCTCCTGGTCGCTCCACATGTTCATGACCTGTCTGTCTTTGTAGATCTTCATTGGGTCGTCCATCAGACCGTTCATATTAATGAACTTTATCCTCTGCTGCTCCGCATCAAACAGCATCGGAGGAATCACCGCCAGCTGACGCATTTGCTTCTCTGAGTTCTACAGACAGCGTGAGAAGGCAAGCGTAGTAAGAGTGTGTAGAGAGAGAGAGAGCGCAAGTGTAGAAAAGTGTAGAGAAAGAAAGAGTGGAGAGACAAAGAGAGAGAGCACGATAGTGACACAGACAGAAAAAGCGAGAGAGAGAGCATGTGAGAGAACGCAAGAATAAGAAAGAGAAACAGAGAAAGGAAACAGAGGGAGAGGAGAGAGCAATGACATGCAGAGAGAACGTGAGAAAGACAAAGAGGACAGAGCGAGAGAGAGAGAGAGAGAGAGAAACAAAGTGACGATAGAGAGAGCAATGATACATAGAGAAAGAGAGCGATAATGGAGAGAGAGAAAGGAGAAAGGAAATGGAAAAGAAAAAGATATTAAAATTATGTGGTTTAAAAAAAAATCATGTCAGAGAGAGAGCTCTTAAAACGCTGAAATGCTACATTTGTGTATGTGTGTGTGTATATATATACACATATATATATATACACATACATATATAGACACACATATATACCTACATATACATACACACACAAACACACACACATATACATATGTAAGTGTGTAGGAAGTGACTGAGCCACAAAACCTCTCCAGTTGTGAAACTGACAGCGGTGTGGGGTGTAACAAACGTCTAGACCAGAAATCAGAAGCATGCAGGCAGCGTGGCACTCGGTGTCTCCTCTTCCGCTGATCATGGTGAAAATAACAGTGGTGTCTGCGAGTGTTTGGGTTCTCACCTCTTGCTCTGAAATGCCATCTATTATCTCAGACACTTCATGTTCACTTCGAGCTGCAGAAGCCAAACTTCCTCGCTGGCCCACCCGGCTGTAAAAGGAAAAAAAATAATAATAAAAACATTAATGATTCTTTAGTAAAGAATTCAATGAATCACTTGATTCCCATTTCACCACGGCTGGGACTGCAATGGACCACTAGCAGTTTTGTTATAGAGGGGTTTACTAAAGACTCGAATTAAACAATAAATAAATACATTAGGACCTTTTCTCATCATCAACCTGCGTCAGTATTCAACAAACCAACAGCAGCACAGAAAGGCTGATGTATTCACAGACGTATCGATCATAATGAGCAGCATTAGGGTTTTCGTTTTTAGCTGTACAGAGCCGCCGTTTGTGGCCAGGGAGTCGAGAGAGTTGGATAAGTTTAGTTTTCAGTGGTTCATCAGCTAAAGCTCTTCTGTGTACTTTGGTCCACATTTAGCTGATGTAATGATCTATGCTGTTCACTACACTTTTAAAAAGACGGTTCTTTAAGGGTTCTTCAGTAAACAAAATGGTTTATATAGAAACAATGAACACTCAAAAACTCTTTTGTTCTTCATTTGCATCCTTAAATCATGTGTTATACAGAACATTTCTGAAAATGGTTCAACATTAAAAAAGGGGTTCTTCTATTGTTACAACGTTAAGCTTGTAACAAAGGAAGAACCCTTTTTGGCGTTATACAGAACCAGCTGAGCATGCAAATGGTTCTTTGAGTGTTCATACTTCTATACAGAACCACTGTCTTTACTAATGAACACTAGAAGAACCACCTTTTTTAAAAGTGTACCTGTGAAACTGTAACTTTTTTGCAATTCGGAGACTAAATTAAAAAAAAAAAAAAAAAAACAAAAAAAAACAGACGTATGTTTTAGTGCCCTAAACGCAAAATAGGGCTAGTTATTTTGGTAAGATTTGGTAAGATGTCTATTGCACACTGGACAAGTCACACCACATAGCACCATGGAGCAGACACAGGAAAAAGCACTGCTATACTACATATAATGCGCTATACTACACATAATGTGCTGCTGAGTTTATCTGAACTCTCACATAAATTACTGGAATAAAACTGAAATAGAACATCATTTATAGCATTAGGTGTCAGTTAATTAGGCCTTAACTCATCTTTTTGAGCTGAAAGATACAAAACGATACATTTCAAGCCAAATGTGACCTACTGTGGCTTTCTGTGGTCTGACTGTGGCTTTATTATAAGATAATTAGCTTATTTCCAGAATTTGTTTTTTTACTTGTTTTATTTTATGAAGTAAAATTCTCATTGGCAGATAATTTTGCTGATTGCTTACTTCTGCATGCGCTCCTGGAGCTCCCTCTGCTTGCGGATCTCGGGGAACTGTTTCTCGTAGTATTCTCGGACCTTGCTCTCTTTGGCTCTGCGGCGAGGGTTGTTCTCTATACGCTCCACCTTCTTCTCCCACGCTTCCATCAGCTGATCATAGCGCTGACAAAACTTCTGCTCCTGCACACACATACAAACACATTTTTGCCTTTTGTTCCAATCTATGCAATAAACTGTGGGGTTACAAGAGGCAGTGATCTTCTAGAGAAAGTTCAGACAGCAGATATCGCGATATATTAATTAGACAATGAAAATTACATTCATATTTTTTGTGCATTTTGCTGTCAGTTAACTTTTTTTTAAGAAAAAAAGTTTTCATAAATGTGTTTTTTCTTAACTTCATTTCTTAAGAATTTTCTTTTTTGACTCCTTTCTCAAGGATAATTCTAGGAACAAGCAGCATTCTTGAAAACATTACGTTCATAAACCTTTTCTTCACCTTACAACAGCCTCACACCTGCTGTAAGAGATGACGAGGTGAGCATCTAAAATCATCAAACACGCCTGCTGCGTCTGCTACTCTTGCTTTCTGACGTCACCCCTCAATTATCGTATTTTCTAAGAAGGATTTTTTTTTTCTTCCACTATCACCTCTAGTTCTTCGTTTTGCAGCACTCTAAACTGATTAAACGAAACAATGGTAAATAAAAATTAAAAATGTATCTTGCATTGTTTATGGCAAGCTGTAAAATGCAACACAGCCTACATAAGAAAACAATGTAGATTTACTCAAGAAAACAGAAAGAAAACAATTTTTAAGAGGACATTTGAGAACTTTTTTCGAGAACTGCATTTAAAAACATTCTTATGAACTTCTTAGTTTTTGTCTTAAGAACCTTCACGAGTTTTTTATTAAAGAAGTGTTCGTGAATCTGGCCACTGACATTACTAACGCAAATCTCACAGCAATGTTTCAACATCTAGTGTAAAGCCTTCCCAGGAGAGTAGGGGCTGTTACTGCAGCAAAAGGTGGACAAACTCCCTATTAACAGCTCTATTTCAGAAGAAACGTTGGTTTGGTTGGAGCAGGTGTACGCTCCAGGTACCGATGATGAACGTTCTGACTTGGATGGAGCACCATCACTCCAGAGAACCACACCGCCCAATGCTGGGGGGCAGACTTATACCTGTCATCACGCACGGTGACCATAGGGCTCATGTGCAGCTGCTCCAGAGCTTCTTGCTCTATTAGTGCATGCTTTTCTATGGCGATTATACAGGTTATGTGTACAGTCGCCACAACTGAACACCCATCAGCAATGTGTGAACCTCAAAGTAGCTGAACTCACTAATTAGAGGGGCTGTCTGGACACTTTTGGGCATCAAGCGTGTGTGTAAGTGCAGCTATTTACCCATTGTTTGCGAGCATGATTTCTCCTCTTGAAGTACAGAATGAGCTTCTTCCTCATCACCTGGTTTCTGGAGAGAGAAACACAAGATTCAGTCAAGAGTAAAGAGACATAGCCGCAGCTATTTTGTTGCTATGGAGACCCTGCATCACTGCACTCGCGCTTGAGAAGCAGTGCATTAGCACAAGAGAGCTTTAACCTGAGTAGGCCAGAGAGCGAAGACTCCACAGAAGAAACAACACCAGAAGACATGCTATGAAGCCCAAAGTGCTTGAATGTATGTTAGTATACTTTATCTTTTCTATCAAACAGCAAAAAAAAGAAATAAATACAACACTATGCAAAGTCAGAAATCTTTTATTTAACTTCCAGACAAAATGCCCAGAAGAAGTTATTACCTTCTCAGGAGATGTTTCTGAGGAGATTATGAGATAAAGCACTTGTATAAGAAAGTGAAAGGAAAATGAACAGGAGAAACACACACAAGAGTTTCCAAACCTGGAGTTCAAAAAAAAACGTTTAAAAGCTCCAGAGAAAATGGGGCTCTTAAGAACCACCTGGAAGACCTGGCAGACAAAACTGTCCCCATCAGATAAACAGCACTTAAAGCTTTCATCTTTGAGAGAGACGAGAAAATCAAGCTGCTTCAGATCTGAAAACATCCACAGGTGTTTCTGTCCATCCTTCCACTGTGAGAAGACGACTCAGCACTGTGGGTCTGAACGGATGTGTAGCTGTTCAAGAAGCCCTTAGCAAGACCAGACGTCTATAAAAAAACTGCATATCAATATCACAGTATACTGATGACCACCCATCACTATATCTGACCATATAAAATAAAAGGGCTGATATTACCAGTTATCAAACATGTTCCTTAATAGCAGTATCTATTTTCATCAGTCAGGCCTGTTTATGTTACACAGATGTGAGCTTATATGATTTAATCGTTCCTGTAAACTGTCATTATCTGATTAAAGACTCAAACAGCAAGACACGCAATGTGTCTATTTGAGTGTCAGTTTAACATGAAGGTCAGATAAGTAATCAGCTTTAACTCTCTCTCTACACAGATTAATTACTCACCCTCCACACTCTGGCCCTCTCTTATTCTCCCTCTCCCTCTCTCTCTCTCTCTCTCTCTCTCTCTCTCTCTGCAGGTCAATCCATCAACAATGAATCTCACTCTGTATAAGAGACCTTACTGATTTCTGCTGCTGCATAGAAAGCATAAAAGTGCACTGAGGGTTTAAGTATTATTGGTAAGCATATTTTGGTAATGTCACCCACTTTTGCAGGTCATGTACTCAATCAATAAAGACTACATTTTTTCCATTTTTGGTGAATTCATGACGGTTATTGGGGGGCGGGTGGGGGTTAGAGTTAGGGCTACGCCTTCAGCTATTCATTTTTCTGCATTAAACAAACAAAAAGAAGCAAAAATATAGGAAATATTTAAAATCATTATACCAGAACCCCTACAACTAAATATAATATCCAAATATTTCAGTATTTATTGCGTCCACTCTTTAGCTTTATTACAGCTTCCATTCTTTTCAAGAGACTCGCTTTCAGTTTTTCAACAAAGAAATCTGCAGGGATATTTTTTCACAGCTCCAAAGTTCAGTCTTAGAAGTTGGTTACATTTTCTGTTTCTTACAATCCAAATATTCCCAAACACATTCAGTGGTGTTGAGGTCTGGACTCTGGGGTGGTCAGTCCATTGTTCAGCTTCTTTGTTTGATGTATCCGTCTCCTTTTCTCAGTGAGGTTCTTCTTGTTCAGCTACACATCCTTTCAGACCCACAGCGCTGAGTCGTCTTCTCACAGTGGAAGGATGGACAGAAACATCTGTGGATGTTTTCAGATCTGAAGCAGGTTGATTTTCTCCTCTCTCTCAGAGATGAAAGCTTTAAGTGCTGTTTATCTGATGGGGGCAGTTTTGGTGTCGACCAGGTCTTAAACGGTTATTATGAGACGTTTTTTCTCTAACTTTTAACCATTTTTTTGAACTTTTTTTTTTCTACTTGTTGACTTTCTCCTTCATTATGCAAATGGATGATCTCATATCTAATGTCCTCAGAAACATTACCGATATAATATAGCTTGAACTTAATGGCTGTTTTGACTGGAATTGAATAAATGAATGGTCTCTGACTTTTGCACAGAACTGTACATATTTAATTGCATACCATGTTAACCAACTAACTGCATTTACATTTGATTTAAATTCTTTGACAGGTTTGAGTCTCTATTTTCAACTTTTTGTCAAATAATGACAAAAATTTGGATTTTTTTTCTTCATTCTGCAAATAAACAATAACTTTACATCAAATTCAATTTTTAATAAACTCTGTCCTCTTACACTTAAACACTAATGTGGTACGGAGTGAAAGTCTAGAATCTGCACTTTCAGTAGAACTCAGCTTGTTTTAATAAGCTACATGTGAAAAATAATTCACACGAGATTATAGCGAGCTTTAGGTATCGTCTGATGACTGTGATGAGGGTTAAACAGTGTAGGTACAGAGACTGTGCTGTATTAACACAGCAGATGGCAGTGAGATTAGCTGTTGAGTGAGAGCCCCGTAAGCTAGAACTCACTTACGCACACATTTGAGATTTAGCAGAGACTGTCATACATCAGGCCACATGTGCAGTACACAAGAAGTTAGCTTTGACAACTATTGGAAGCCGCCAGGAACATTCAAACAGACAAGAAAACAGAGCAGACATGCACTGCTGACACTGCAAAACCTACAGCACATCAGCGCGCGAGCGCAGAGGATCTGAACATCTCTGCACCCCCTAAAATCCGAGAATTATTACATCTTAAAGTTTATTATGCAGTAACTACATAAACTACAATGGAAACTGACAAGTTATTGGGAGCCGGCCATATAAGGAGTTAAAGCAGAAGCTCTGGACGTCTCTATACAGAGAGAGAGAGAGAGGGGGAGAGAGAGAGAGAGAGAGAGAGAGAGAGAGAGATACAAAGGAGAGACAGAAAGAAAGAGAAAAGGAGGAGAGAAAGAGTGCAAGGATAAAGAGATAAAGAGAACCAGCGGAAGAGAAGTGGGAAAACAGGAGAGAGAGAAAAGAAAGAGAGGAAAGAAGTGAAAAAGAGGAAAAGAGTGAACGAGGAGGAGGAGGAGGGAGAGAGAGAGAGAGAGAGACAGAGGAGAGGAGGATATACAAAAGAGAGACAGAAAGAAAGAGAAAAGGAGAGAAAGAGTGTAAGGAAGAGATAACAAGAACGAGAGAAAGAGAAGTGGGATGAGAGAGGTCAGGCAGACAACATAGGAAAGGGGAGAGACAGAAAAGGAGAGGGGGGAAAAGACAAGTGGGAGAGAAAGAGGTGTGTAAGTGAACAAAGAGAGAGAGAGAAAAGGATAAAAGGAAAGAGGAGAAAAGAGAAAGAAAGGAATCTAATCTAAGGAGAGGAGAAAGGAGAGAGATAGAAGAGGAGAGAAAGAGAGGAGGAAAAGAAACGGGAGAGAAGGACGAAATAAGCAGGCAGAAAGAGGAGAGAAGAGAAAAGAAAAGAAAGAGAAAAAGAGAGAAAAGAGTTTCCCACCAGCAAGTGCTGCTCAGGTTAATAAAAGACTTTGAGAACAAAGCTCACAATTGTATCTGATCAAAGCACTGAACGAACACACACACACACACACACACACACACACACACACACACACTAATCACTGTGAGAAAATGATGGTCAGGTTCAGCAGGAGACGTAAAGAGGAAAAAAAGGAATAAAACAGAACGTCTTCTCTGTGTCAGTCAATGTCACCGTCCAGCAGAAAGGCTGTTCTCTCACTGACGGACACAGTGACCACTGATTATCACTGATCAACTGAGCACACTAAACATGAGCAACATGAATCAAAGCAAACAAAACCCACACTGTCAATCAGATCTATGAATACTGAGCAAGAAACAGTTCACTCCAAACCACAATAATATTCATAGTAATAATAATAATCCGATAATATATTAACACCCTATATAATACAATAACACCCTCAACAATAATATAAATAACACAGTACAATATTGCTTGCATACAATAATGCAATAAAACTTTCAATACAGCTCTAACGATAATACAATAATCATATTCAAGTCAAGCCACAATAAAAGCCCAATAATAATACAATAATATAATAAAAGCCCCATTTACACCAGATTACAATAATGCTCTCAATACTAATATAATAAATGTCCCATTCAAGTCATGCCGTAATAATAACTCAATGATAATACAATAATATAATAAAAGTCCTATTTACACCAGATTACAATAATATTCTCAAAACTAATATAATATAGAAGTAAGACTCATTCAAGTCAAGCCACAATAATACCCCAATAATAATACAATACACTAATACAATAATATAATAAAAGTCCTACTCACACCAGATTACAACAATATTTTCAATACTTATATATATATATATATATATATATATATATATATATATATATATATATATATCCCATTCAAGTCAAGCCACAATAATACACTCGTCTAGATAATACTTATTTCAGAGCTGTAATTTGCCTTTTTTGGTTTTGTATTGAGAGGCGCCTAGTCATTGGGTTGCCAGCTATTCAAAAAAAAATTTACATTTATAAAAATAGTAATTTGTATTCTCTGATGTTTGAAATCAACTCTTCTTGGCAAATTTTGAAAGTGGCCCAAAAACCCCAGTGACTGCAATTCAAAACTACCCCAATTTCACAGGAAAACTGTGAAACTGGCAACTCCGCTGCGACTACCATAGATCAATACGTAGAGCCTTCAGACTGGAGAATAATGTAAAGTGAACAGATTGATAAAACAATTTTATTTTGCTGATAAATATTTTTCCTGCTTCTAGGCCCCATGCCTGTCAATTTCCACATGAGTTGTAAAAATAGCAACCCCATTCATGCTGGATCACAGTGATACCTCCAATAATCATACAATGATATAACATTAATCATCCATCTCAACCCCTAAGAGACTCAATGACAACCTCAATAATACTAATACAGTTATATAATACTCAGAAGCACATTCACTCCAACCCACAGCAGCACCGTTTTCGCCCAGCTCAGCTGTGTCCCTGCAGCGATGAATAAGATCTGTGGAGCTGAACGCGCTGAGGTCAGGCTGACCTGAGTGGTGTTACATTAACTATCGCAGCATCAGGAAATGAGAAAAAAGGAAGGAAAGAAGAGGAATACTCACATTTTGATGTTCTCATGGTACTGCTTCGTATCTGACGGCTGGTTATAGAGAGGCTGCAATGGAAAGAGAGAGAGAGAGAGAGAGAGAGAAGGGGAGGGAGGGAGAGAGAGAGTTAGAAGAGATGAAAGCACTAGAGTTCAGTTTCAGAAAGACACTCGGCACCCCCCTTTCCCCAGCCCATCTCTCTGCTCTGAGTTTTCTACCCATTTTCCATCCAAGGTCAGTGTACGCACAGCAGCACAACAACAAAACAAAGAAAATGACTGTAGGCTTCTTATAAAAACAACGCGACTGCCATCACCAGCGGTAACAGTACACCTGTAATTACCGACTACACACACTGCAGTGCTGCATGCGGGGGGTGGTGGGGTGTGTTGGTTTCTTTACGAGGAATTAAAGTGGAAATTGAAACTAATGTTCTAACCTCGGGACATCACTTTTGAAAGGGGAAACCAGAGAGATTTTAAAGAGGAAATCCCCCTGGTATCCTCGATTACCCTTCTGACAATGAATCACTGTGCTCTTACTCTTCTGCAGAGTATCAAACCTCTGCTAACGCTGTTTAATCATTAGGACAATCAGGCACATGCTGCTACCTGAGGAACACGAGGCTGTGTCTGTGTTTTCACGCGTTATCGGATGGATGGAGGATTTAGCCATGTTAGCTCGTGCCTCGTGAGTCCTGTAGATGTGTGTGGGTAAACATTCACAAATTGATTAGGGAGCACACACACACACACACACACACACACACACACACACACACACACGTACGTCTGGAAACTCCACAGCTAACAGCGCTGACAGCGGGAGGTTACAAGTAATCGTGGGAGGACTGTCTGATACTAACCATACACAGAATATAGACATATACTAGCAGTGGGTGGTATGACCTTATCAGTGTATCAGCACAATTTCAATAAAAAAAACATTTTAGATTCATAAGAAATCTATAACCTATTTCTGTAGATCAACAGCGGCTTATTACTGTGGAAAGTCCCTTAATTACAACCACAATTATAACTGCCTATAAACAGGACTGAACAGTATACAGGTAAACCTGTTACATGAAGAAAACACCCAAATTTCTCAAGTCACCTATCGCATATATGAGCCCCTCACACTAGTGTGTAGAGTCGGACTCTGCTGGAGTTTGGTGAAGGTTACGGTCTATCAGCACCTGATGAGATGCTGATCGTTGTTGTTGTGAACACGCCCACAGGCCGCCGCATCAGGCAGTGTGAAAAGAAACAGAAGCGCAGATAGCAGGCTAAAGGCTAAGCCCAAGTGACAGACAGCTCCTGTCATACAGCTCTCTAATGTCTGCTTCGCTCATAAACCGCATTATCGTTACTTCAGACTGCACCTGACCACACAGTGGAACATGACTCAGCCATTGTTCCTGTGTTTTTTTGGGCACACTGGAGTAAAGGTTATGGCAAAACTAATACCTTAAGAAGAATCTCAACCGCACAAAACAGTATTTCGTCCAATGTAATGTCTATACATACGTACATACGTACGTACATACGCACATATATACCCACAAACAGTGCACAAACGTGATCCTGGGACAATCTTTGAACACAAATGTCTGGTTATCATTTATTCATTTGTGTCCAACAGAGAAGTTAGAACTTTTAGCACTAACAACCTGGTTTACTAACTAAAACTCAAAATGAACCTCAAGTCAGGTAAGTAAAAGTACTCATTAGTGTCTCATACCACCCACTACTTCAGTGTGTTTTCCCTTTACACTTGATTTTGGAAAGTTAAATGTGTGATCTGTGATCTTTCTTGCAGACTTTTATCAAGATACAATATTTTTTGACAGATTATTTCAATTTTCTTTCAGAAAATTACTGAAATCTTGAGTCAGCTGTGTTGGACGATGGTTTTCCAGGAGCAGCGTTTTGAGATATATGGTCTGAATGACGTGTCTGTATTTGGATTAGTGCAGCAACATTTGCTTTGACGTTCAAAGTCAGGGGCTTAGGTGAAAGCTTTCTAGTTCGCCACTGTTCAGTTGGACCCAAAGTACTGATTGAGAAGTTATAATACAGCTGAAATAATGTAAATAATTGAAAATAGTGAAGCATAAATTGCATAATACATTTACAAATTGAACCAGGTGTCCCAAGACACTTCTGAGCCCATTATATGTACCCATTCTGGTCCAAAGCTGCACTTACGCTAACACCTTTAAGACCCACTCCTAGTGCAGACATTAAGGCCAATTAACATTTCTTATTTTCACCCCTACCACTTGTTTTCCAGCATCACCTTGCCCCTTGGAACTGACTTACAAGGGGTAGTGGTTGAAATCTTCCCCCGTGAAATGGAACAACCCTCAAATAAAGAAGAGCATTACTTCATTAACAGCTACCAGCGCTGCTCTGTAGGCGACCCTGCCAGTCTGCAGTGACAGCAGAGGAGGGTAAAGTTCAGCTCCTCACTGCTGGGTTTAGTTACATTCAGGGCATCATATGCCTTCAAAGAGGGGGGCAATTATTTATCATCACCCACCGCTCTTTAGTGACATGAAGCTGAAGTCAGATATTCACCAGCTTCTTGTTTGAATTTTCCCGTTCCACCTTAAATGGAGCAGTAGTTACATTGACGCTTCAGGCGTCAAACCTGCTGGACTATTTAAGGTGGAATGGACAAGAGACATCAGCAAACTATTAGCAATTTTTATGCTCGTTATGAAGAAAACGACAATAACACACTGAAACGACATTAAACCCAAGATAATATGTTGGTTATTGTAATTTTTAACGGAGAAAATTATCACATCTGTGGGTTTCTTTGGTCGCTGTTGCCGCCATCTTACCAGTTTTTCTTTTTTACTCATAACACTCGGTTTGGAGTGACTCTGAAAAACCTCAGTTTGGAGGGTCATGTAGCCCTAACACTTCGGCCTACCCCTCTATCTCAACAAAAATCAGGACACCCTACCCCTAGATGTGAACACGCAAAACAGGGGGCTAAGGATAGTGCCCCTAAGTGGTAGAGGCAAGAGGTGAAATGTGGTTTATTTATACCACCCATTTTATAATAAATAAGCAGCTTTATCCAATGAATAACTACGCTACTAACTAACTGAATCATTTGGATGTGACTGCTGGTATTTAATGTATTTCTATGTAATTATAATCTATTTACCTTCCACCCTTTTTTCAGTTATGCCACTCTGGTTCAGGTTAGCATGGTCACAATAATATTTCTGCTACTGTCACATATGCCAGTACCAGGATTTGGAGCCTTACTTTTATGTTTTACTATGACAATGAAAACAGGGCCCAAATGTATTTAAAATGAACCGCTCTATTGGATGTCAGTCTTAGACTTGGAATTTAATTTGTAGTTTGTTTTTTGAGATCTCAAACTTTTATCACGACTGCCGTACCACAGTCTAACAAAATATCACAAAGTGTGGCATTTAAAATTACTTATAAGCTCTTCAGAAAAACAAAACCCATCACATGAGTGTGGGAGTGTATATGCCCCGCCTACTCTACTATAACAGGATGCACCCAGATGCCTAGTATTGATAATTGACCACGATTTCCACAAAAGATGGTAAACAACAGACCCTGAAAATAAAGGTCATATCAGTGAATCAAAGATACATTTACGATTTCAACAGTTTTTACACTGCACTGAAATCGCATTACCTCAATAATGTGATTCACAACACTGATATTGCCAAAGGCAGTAACATCAAACCAATCATAATTCTTACTGTGTGCTCTGAGCATCCTGACCGATCAGACCTCTAAATGGGTGTTTTATAAAGAGAGAGAAAGAGATAGACGAAGAATCAGTAGTTCAGACTCACCAGCTCCACTCGGGGTCCGAGTCCTTCCAGGATGCGGTGCGCCTCCTCCGCTTTTTTCTGTTCAGGAAACACACACACACACACACACACACACACACACACACACACACACACACACACATCAATGGTCTGGCCGCACGTTTCCAGTCTCCACGGCAACAAGCACGTCTCATTCGCACTGGCGCTCAATCATAAACAATGAACTGTACACTGACCATTAAAAGAGCTTATCAAAACCACACACTAACTCAGCTCCCCACTGTCTCTCTCTCTCTCGCTGGCTGAGAGTAAAGGGGGAGGGAGGGAGAGATAGATGGACAGCAGTATGGGCTGGTGGCAGACAGAGCTGTGGCTGCAGCACTAATCCTATCAGATGAAAGGGAGTGAGAGAGAGAGAGCTGCTACTTTTCTTTCCTCTTCCTGAAGAGCTCTTACTAAACCAGCCTCGCTTGGCAACCGACCACAGAGGAAAACAGAAAAGAACTAGTAGACAAGCAAAAACCTCACAGTGTCCTCAAATACACTTAAAAACCTCCTCTAGGCTTCCTAAATTTCTCACCAAAACATGTCCGATTCCTCCTTTCAGACAGACAGCAAGGAAACTAACCAGCTAGAAAGACAGCGGAAGAGGACGAACATTGACAGACATCTACAAAAATAGCTAGGATGCTAATCAACCAGAAAGATGGCTAGATAACAGTTTCCTGGACAGACAGAAAGCTAGCTAGATAGCTAATCCGCTAGAAAGACAGCTAGACAGCTGGTTACCTGGACAGACGTAGGGTTAGCTAGATAGCTAGATCAACTAGAAAGTTAGCTAGATAGCTAGCAAAATCAATCATAGATTACAGTAACCTAGACAGGCAGCTAAGAAACACAGGGAGCCAGTTAGTGGATAGCACACTTCTCCCACACAGGACAACACTGCATAACATCGCCGCTGCCTGAACAAAACCTCGTATCTCCGTTTCTGTTTTTCATTTTTTTAAAGTATTCTGAAAATGCATGTTGCCCTTTATGTTTTGCATACATTTCATAATGAATGGACCAAAAGAAATGGCCCAAAATTATCTTGAAAAAAGTCTCTGATCTACATTAAAATTCAAGTATGTTTTCCCCTTCTCCTGTAAAGTAACCATTCTAAAGACACAAGGGTTTGTTCTGACAGCAGCGATATGCTAATAAGAGTCTTTAAATTACATTTGCCTGTCATGTTTATGTATATAATAATATTTATTTTAAAAATAAAAGCTTTTGTTTATTACGCAAGGATCCATTTTGAACGTTATTCGTCTGCTTCACAAATAAAAGCATCTGATAGACATGTAAACGTGAGGATGAGGTTTTTTTTAATGCCGATTTGTCTGCTGCACAAATCTGTTTTGCTTCAGTAAAAAGACTAAAGTAAACAAAGTGTAAACTTCTTTAAATATAAGTTTTCTTTGGGAGGAATAATTTACAGTGACAAGTGATAAATCGCAACATGTATCACACAAAACACAATACAATACAAATTTTTCAGATATCGCAATAGAATCGCATCATGGCTCAATTATTGTACTGTATGATATAATGGGGCCTGTACAGCCCTACTTATTAACTAGCTGGCCTACAAGTTAGCAGATTTTTAAAGAACAGCCCGATACAGATGGTCATCGTTCATAGGTCTCGCTTTTAGAACGGCAGCCCGAATTAGAGAAACTCTCCTAAAACACACACAAATCCTGCAATAACTACTCCAAAAATTACTCAGAGTGATTTTATCAGCATTTTTCTGACTACTGCAGACAGCATTAGCTCGCAAACAGCATCCTGAAGAAAGTGTGAAGTTTGTCACTTGTGCATGTGCGTGTGCATGTGTGAGTGTGTATAAGGTGAGAAATGCAGTGAGTGTTCAAACATTTAACTCAGCAACAGTGAACACAACAGGAAGGTAACAGTGTCTGTGCACTGAGCTAACTGGCTGAGTGTGCACAAACAGACGTGAAACATAAGAAGACATTAATGACTCAAAGCTGCAGTGAGAAACAGCTGAAACAGTGACACAGTCAAACCAAGATTAGACCACACCAGCTTGAGCACGGCACATTTTTTACTTTCTGATGGGAGGTAATATTTATTAACTCAGTCTAAAGGCGGCAACTCAACTGCATAAAAACAAATACTAGAATTGATTATAACAAAAAAGTACATGCATATTATTTGGCAAATAAAAGTTACTGTCTATATTCTACCACTGTTAAGTAGTGCCTCCTGTCACATTATACAGAAGGGCTAGATGGGCTAGTCTTTAACTTTGCACCAGAAAGATGGAAATGCAACAGGGCGGTTTCTACTAAAGTGGCTGCAGAGTGTATACAGCTTATAAAGGGGAATTCCACCGACTGTTCAAAATTTCTGCACAGTACAATCATCGAGATTTAAAAAAAAAAAAAAAGGTTTTTCCCCATGAAATGCTTTATTCTAGAGAAACTTGCAGACTCAGATCTCTTTACAGCGGTGGTGACAGAAACCAGGGATCACCACGCCTACAACACAAATATAGTTTAGTTTATTTACTGAACAAAACCATCAGTGAACAGACACGTGTGTTGAGTTTTATATGTAATGTTAATAAATGTTAAAATAGTGTTAAATCCGAAAAAAGTAAAAAAGTGTTCTTTGGGGACTGTTCTGCCTTAGAACGCCCTGCGTGTACCACTCCACTTTACATCTAGGTTTAAACCTTATCTCTTAACCACTGATCAGTGTCTCAGACATGAGGCAGCATATTTCTGAACATTTCCTGTAATAACTTTCTGTAAGGGAGCTTTCAGGGGCGTTAAAGTTAAATTCTTGAGTTGTCTGGTTCCTATCGCCACCACTGTGAACAATTCTGACTTGATAACTTTCTCTAGAACGGAGCATTTCACACCAAACCACTCTGAATGACTGTGTACATCATATCAATTACCTGCAGCAAAAAATGTAAAATTTCCCCTTTAACGTACAATGAGCACTGATTCACTAGAGTGTTGCCACCAGAGGGAGCACTAGCATCAAACACGAAAGCTTTCTTCTTCTGTACATCGCAATACTTTATGGCTCTGTCTGTGAATGAGTGAAAACAGTTGGTAAGGGTGATTCTGAACTGGAGTGTAGTTATGTACCGCAGTAGGACTGCTGTGCTTTATGGGAGGGGGAAGCACTTCTGGGAAAGAGAGTGAGTGAGTGAGCGAGCGCGAGCGTGTGTATGCTACAGACTGATTCAGCACATCTGGCTGCTTTGTGTCTGACTAATAAACGGGGTTGGGGGGTTCACAGTGCACTGAGTTCAGCTCTAATCAGATTTCTCTAGATAATACACTTTTCTAGGTATGAGGCGAATAGCTGGGTTAGCTGTAAAACACACACACAGATTTCTACTTCTATAAACCAAATGTCACATCCAATATGTGTGAGAATTGGTGAGAGTATCAGTATGTGTGTGTTTGTACTGTGAGTGTGTGTGACAGAGTGCGTCTGTGTAAAAGAGAGTGTACGGTGTGACTCAGTCTGCATACATAATATTTAGTGAAAACAATGAAAGCACAGTATACAAACAATGTATCTCGGCAGACACGGAATACACATAATGCCCTGCGTTTAGTTTTGAAGTTTCACGCACAGAAGTGGACGGCAAGCCGATGTAAATAATGCTACCATGGCAACGTCTCCTTGAACAGATTACAAACACAAGTAGCTTGTTAGCTAACTGAAGCTTTTCTAAGTCATTCCTATAGACCAAATTGAAATGACTGTAAACACTAAGGTTGGCTTTATGTCCGAGTGGATAACTCACATCCAGTTCGCGTGGAAGCAGCAGCAGCAGTAAATACCAACAGAAGAGACTCATTTGCAATGAGGCAAAGAGACAACTTTGGCAATAAAGGTAAACTCTTACTGCGTTTGTGGCTATAATATCAAATGAAACCCTGTAAATGTAACCCAGCCCTGTTTTCCAGCTTTCAAAAGCAGGCAGAGCTGCTACAGCTGCTAGTGAGGGATCCTCTGTCTTTGGCAACACATGCTGCTGAATCCAAAAGCAATTCTGTAAATTCTTTACTCTTCCAGGAGGGCACAGTCACTAAGCACCATTACGTCACCAATATGTGCACCAGAATGCGAACGAGAATGGTATACTGACGTTTCGATTGCTATTTTTAGAATTATATCTTTGTCAAGAGTTCGCCAAGTTAATTAAGACGCTAAAGCTATCTTGTGCTAGTTTTCACACTCAGAGAATAATATCAGCTTTGCTTGATTCTGTGTACATCTAGACAATTGTGTGAGGGACAGCAGAACAGTGCAGTATATCGTCTCTTAGCACCCAATTAGTTAAGCCACTAGCAAGCAAGGTAGCTCAGTGGTCAAATCAGACGCTTTAGAGAGGCATAAAAGACCAGAAAGCCGTTATTAATTGTAGTTATTTTAATGGTGCTTATTTGTCCTATAGTTACATATGTTGTGTACAAAGTCACTTTAATGTCCTTTGGTTTGACATAGAACAAAAACTGTGTGGCTCGGGCTTCCGGGTGGCGCAACTGTCTAAGCGTTGGCCCTGTCATCAGGAGATCACGAGTTCGAGCCCCGTGATGCTACAGCCGTACGTGGCCGGAAGTCCAAGAGAGCACAATTGGCCTCGCTCTCTCTGGGTGGGTAGGATGGCCTCGCCTCTCCCCCCCATCACTCAGCTGGCGTCTGTTAGCTGACGTAACAGATCTGGCGGTTGGCGCCTTCCTTCGAGCGCGTGCGGCTGTCCAGTGATGCTGAGTTAGTGGCAGTTCGAAAAGATGCGGTGGTGCTTCACAGGTCTCTGAGGAAGCCTGTGCAGGCCTTCACCCTCCTAGCGCTAGTGGTATCACGTGATGTGGGGAGTCCTAACTAGTGTGTGGAACTGGAGCTGACTAAACTGGGGAGAAAACTGGGGAAAAAAAACTGTGTGGCTCAGCAATTAGCATGTTAGAATGCTGACTAGTTGCTTTAGTGTTTTTATTTAATGGAAAGTGACAATTGCAGAGTAATTAGGTAGTCCATGTAACGTTAGTTCACAAAATAGTTCACTTTATTCAAAGTGCATCCAGCTTTATTGCTTCCCAGTCTTTAGATTTAAGTAAAATGTGCTTACTGCCGCAAAATCGATTCATTTTTGGCATGAAAACTTCTAATGCAAGGTTTTGTTTTTTGCCATTTAATAGTGTGTTTATGATCAAATCTGACTGATTTAGTTACTTTTAGAATTTAGACCAGAAATATTTGTCATTCTTGCTGTTTCTGTAGCAGTTATGGATTTCACGGAAACAGGCTTAAAGTTAATATATTATTTTGCATTGGTCACTTCATTTCTGATATGTGCAGGACAGAGTCTAAACTAAAATTTATAGTTTTATAGTGCCGTGAATACCATACAACTTTATACTGTTCAACGAGGTGAGCACTAGCAACTCCTTTCTATTGGCGTTGGATGAGCTGTTTCTGCTAATGTAGCGGAGCAGCTGCTAAAGCAAAGCATTCCTGCCATGGTTTCGTTTTCAAGCAGGTGCGACTTGTGAGTGAAACTCTTGCTGGGAGTGTCTTTTGTGCATGTTTGTGTTAGCTCGTCACTCGTGGTAAGTAACTGCCTGCTCACATTTCACATTCCAGTACTTAGATGAAGTGCCGTCAAAGCTCAGTCAAAACACGGTGCTTTCATATTTCACTGTAAAAATAGCGCCATATTGCTAAACTTAGAGATCTGACTTGCCTTGGATAATGACTGTTTATATCATCTCTAAACAGCTTAAGAAATACAAGGCAAAAAGCAAGGAACAGGATCATAACCGGATGGAGTTCAATATAGACGATACCGATCCATTTAAACACTGCTAGAGGGATTCAGATCCCAATCCTTTGGATTGGATTGAGACATTCCCTAAAAATAACTACAGCTTAAGTCAATCCATCATGAGCTGCCTATAACAGTGTTTTATACACCCCTCCTGATGTATATGAAGTGTGTTGTCCTTACCCTGTTCTCGTCATAGATGATCTGCACAAGGCTGCGGTGTTTGGCCTCACTCGGCGGAGGAGAAATACTTCGCTCCGGCTCTTGCGGCTTCGCTGCCTCTTCCTCCAGCTGTTGCTAAAGCAGAAAAAACACAAAGAAAGGAACAGAAACGGTAAGTATAGGATGAGAATGCTGGGAAATCTCACTAACCAAATACTTTTTCTACTCTCGCGTCATCAGCTGTGCCAAAGGTCATCGGAGGGGACTATGAAGGGAAAAATGCAGAAGCAGAAGTGAGTAAAGATGAGTAAAAGCTGAGAAAGATTTCCCGTGTAGCTTCCACAGAAATGGCCTGGCACAAACCCAATAACCCTACCAGTGTGTTCATTCACACAGAAGCGGTCGGCCCAATTCGACCTGCGCACACGTTCTGAGTTACGTATGGAGAAGAAGAGGAAAAATGCAATAATGCATCACACGTTTTTGATCGGAAGGTGGTGCCGAAGGATCTGAAGGATGTTTTGGACCAAAATAACATTCACAAGCTAATCTTAAATGGAAAAACCCAATAACAAAAAACCCTTGGCGTGTTGTTTTTATGGAAGGGTAATAAAACAATATCTTATCATGATGCATTTCATCACAATAAGCATCACAATCCCATAAGGATTAAATACAGTGTGCAAAATAGTGAAAAAAAAATCATAGTATTTATCATTTTATTTATTTATTTATTTTTTTATTTAATTTTTTTTTTTAATTAAATTAAATTACTGGTTCTTTTTTATTTATTCCAACTTACAAAGCAATAATGTGATGCATGATCATGAAAATCTATTCTGATATTATTTCAATCGAATTAAAATCTGAAATTTACACCTTTGATACAAAGCTCTGAAACATTACAAGCTAATATACCAGCTAAATAGCAGCTAATTCCAAAAACTGGATATAAATATATAACTAACACCCCCCACAGAAAGAGGTGGACAATGACTTTTTCATCACTACTGTGATAAATTGTGTCACACAACTCTTTTCTGAGTACATCATGGATATCGTCAGTACTGACCAACTGCATGTTTCACTACAAAGAGAGTATAAATGGTCCTGTTCAAATGGATTTAGTGCAAAAAAGCACTGTACTTATGGTTTTTGGTAGTAATCTGGACAGATGGAAATAAGGAGAACGCAGGAGCAGTGGTCACCATGCTAGGGGGGCTTTATACCCCTCTGGGTTAAGCACCGGGCATGGTGAGCTTAGGCTCATGTGCGGCTGCTCCAGAGCGTCCCATTCTACCAGCCAATGCTTTTCTATGGAGATTAGACGAGCTGTGTGAATGCCTGTATTAGTGATGGGTGCAGCTTTAATTAGCTGAGCTCATAATCAGAACAGCTGTCTCAATACTTCTGGACACAGTGTGCTTTAAAATGAGTGGATCTGCACAACATCAAGGGTGTATCTGTAAATTAGCACTCTCACACTGGAGTGTGTTATGATGAGGTAATGAAAACACACACACGCAGTACGCTGTGCATGCAGAAAGGTGATCCATGCCAAATCTCTCCAAACATGGGCCTCTATGGGGCACTGAGAGGGGCTCCTACAGTACCATCCCATACCCCCCAACCACTGCCCCCCCACTCAAAAGCACGCAACTCTACCAGGAGAGAGAGAGAGAGTGTGTGTTGGATCAGTGTTTGTGTACGAGCGTTGGGGAGAGGGAGGGTGGTATTCCCAAGCCCACCGCTGTGTGAGAGAAAATAAATGAGACATCCTGCAGCGCTTTTACACACACACACACACACACACACACACACACACACACACACACACTTTCAGCTTACTCCTTTCCTCCCTCTCATTCTTCTCTGTCTTCCATTTCTCTCGCTCTCTCTTTTTTTTTAAATGAAGGTTTACCACACAGCTTAAAAGTCCAGATGGTTTAGTGCTTGGAAGGGACCTGAGGGAAGGAAAGAGAGAAGGATGGAGGGAGGACGAAGGGAGTGCACAGTGCAGAGTTACTGAACTGAAAAAAGGAGGAAACTCCCATATAAACCAGCATGTGCGTGTGAGAGGAGGGTAGATAGATCGATAGAAAGACAGAAAGAAAGACAGAAAGAAAGAAAGAAAGAAAGAGTAAGATACAAAGAGAGAAAGAAAAAGGGGCTGAGAGAAAGAAAGAAAAAAAGAGTGATACAGGCAGGCAGGCAGGCAGACAAACAGAAAGACAGACAAACGATAAGATACAAAAGAGAAGAAGAGTGATAGACAGACAGATAGACAAAGAAAGAAGAACAAAGAAGTGATACAGGTAGACAGACAGATATATAGACAGAAAGACAGAAAGACAGAAAGAAAGAAAGAAAGAACAATAGTAAGATACAAAAAGAGAAGTGATAGACAGACAGACAAAGAAAGAAAAAGAAAGAAAGAAAGAAAGAAAGAAAGAAAAAAGGTGATAGAGAGATAGAAAGAAAAAAAGAAAGAAAAACAGTAAGATACAAAAAGAGAAGTGATAGATAAAGATACAGATAGATAGAAAGAAAGAAAGACAGAAACAGTAAGATACAAAAAGAGAAGTGATAGATAAAGATACAGATAGATAGAAAGAAAGAAAGAAAGAAAGAAAGAAAGAAAGAAACAGTAAGATACAAAGAGAAATGATAGACAGATACACAGGCATATAGATAGACACAAAAAAAGAAAAACAGCAAGATAAAAAAGAGAAAAAAGGGACAGAGAAAAAAAATAAAGAAAAACAGAAAGAGTGAAACACAGACAGATAAAAAGAAAAATTAAAACAGAAAATAAGCAGAAGAGAAGAGAAAGAAAGAAAATAAAGAGTAAAGAGAGCAAATCAATATGATGGAGAGAGAGAGAGAGAGAGAGAGAGAGAGAGAGAGAGAGAGAGAGAGTGTAAGTGTTTTTTGTAGGTAGCATGTCTTTACTTATAAAAGCATTAAAAAGCCCAGTCCCCTCCTCCCCCCCTCCTCCTCCTCCCCCTCCTCCTCCTCCTCCTCCTCCTCCTCCTCCTCCTCCTCCTCCCTCTCTCTCTCTCCAATCCTCACTCTCTCTCTCCTACCACCCCTCTGCCCACCCATCTCTCCCCTCAGAGTTCAGGTGGTTTAGATTTATGGTTCTGGTTCTTTGGCAGAGGCGGAAAACCACAAGTCAACAGGCAGAGACGGTCTGACAGGAGAGCAGAGCAGCGTTTAACAGACTTTATTTGGTTTTAAATGTGACAATCGGACGCAAGACTGGACCCAAAAAACCATAACCATAAGATTCTTCAGATACATCACAGAATCAGACCATATTAAAGTCAGCGTTAAGAAAGTTAATGACCTCATTTTCCTGACACAAACCTGATACAGCTCATTTTGATCAGACTAGATTAGATTTCTGTTTTCTTCTTAAACTCATACCAAAGAAAGAGCTGTACATGTTAATCAGACAGGAAGGACACTCACTGAATGTATATATACCTGGATGGGCATTATGGGAAAATCTAACCTTCATCTCTAGAGAAGAAGAGTGATAGACCAATAGATAGACAGATAGACAAAGAAAGAAAGAAAAACAAAGAAGAGTGATACAGGTAGACAGACAGATATACAGACAGAAAGAAAGACAAAAAGAAAAAGAAAGAAGGAGTAAGAAAGAGAGAAAGAAAAAAAGAAAGAAGAGTGATACAGATACAGACAGACAGACAGAAAAACAATAAGATACAAAAGAGAAGAGTGATAGACAGACAGACAAAGAAAGAAAGAAAGAAAAACAAAGAAGAGTGATACAGGTAGACAGACAGATATATAGACAGAAAGAAAGACAAAAAGAAAAAGATAGAAGGAAAGAAAGAAGGAGTAAGAAAGAGAAAGAAAAAAAGAAAGAACAGTGATACAGATACAGACAGACAGACAGAAAAACAATAAGATACAAAAGAGAAGAAGAGTGATAGACAGACAGACAGACAAAGAAAGAAAGAAACAAACAAAGAAGAGTGATACAAGTAGACAGACAAATATATATACAGAAAGAAAGAAAGAAAAAAAGAAAGAAAGAAAGAGAAAGAAAGTGTAAGATGCAAAGAAAGAAAGAAAATGGGGCTGAGAGAAAAAGAAAAAAAGAAAAAAGAGTGATACAGATACAGACAGACAGACAGATAGAACAACAATAAGATACAAAAGAGAAGAAGAGTGACAGACAGATAGACAAAGAAAGAAAGAAAGAAAGAGAGAAAGAAAATAAGAAAGAAAGAAAGAAAAACAAAGAGTGATACAGGTAGCCAGACAAATATATAGACAGAAAGAAAGACAGAAAAAAAAGAAAGAAAGAAAAAGAAAGTGTAAGATACAAAGAGAGAAAGAAAACGGGGCTGAGAGAAAAAGAAAAAAAAGAAAAAAGAGCGATACAGACAGACAGACAGACAGAAAAACAATAAGATACAAATGAGAAGAAGAGTGACAGACAAACAGACAGACAGATAGACAAAGAAAGAAAGAAAGAAAGAAAGAAAGAAAAAAGAATTAAAAACATTAAGATACAAAAAGAAGTGATGGACAGAGACAGAAAGAAAGAAAGAAAGACAAAGAAAATCTAACCTTTATTTCTAGAGGGTTAAAATGGAGTAAATGCAGATATGATGCAAAATGGTGGGTCTAAACCTAAAGCTGTGCTGACGCTGGGCCCGGGCAATGTCTGAACATAATTAGCACCATATTTTTTTAGTAAATAAATAAATAAATAAATAAATAAATAAGCAATTATCGATAATACTTTGGCGACTTGCTTGCTAACACTGTTCCCTGCTGGAGGAACTTTAGACAGCAAGTAATTTCCTAAATCACATCCACACACTTTCCACATTAAAAACAAGGCGCTTTCCATCAATACAGCAGCATTTCCATAATTCAGATCACCACCAGACCACTCACTCTGCACACCGACCGCAGACGAGGACCAGGGGGCTCTCTCATCAGGTTAGAGTTAACTCAGCTGCTCTGCGCTAACTTTCAGTATTTTAGCCTGTTTTTTACTGCAGCGAGTCACTTTGAGGTGAGCTGAAGATAAATTAAGGTGAATCCGTACAACAAAGCTAGCATTACAGTGCAGTGTGTGTGTGTGTGTGTGTGTGTGTGTGTGTGTGTGTGTGTGTGTGAGCCTGTGCACTTCTTAAACATGAATCATATTTTTGAGCTGTTTAACGGTAAATTAGTCCTCTCCAATCCTAATTAAAAAGAATTCTAACTCTTTCACCAAAACACAGATTATCATCTTTTACACATCACCATCGGGTTACCTGTCCATCATCGGCTATATCCGATTACACCGCCCTATCGTCCAGGCTTAGCTTACACTACATAACTTAGCCCAATTTCCTCCTTCCGATAAATTTTCACAATTTGAAGCGATTTTCCATGTCGGGAGATGGATCGAAATGAGTCACTCTTCCCATAATAGCCTTCCCATAAACTCTGAAGTGATCTGAGGACCTCTGACCTGTTCAAGCGTTTGATTTTATGACTCAAAAATGTTCACAAATGAGTCCTGTAGTGTGAGATTTCAGCAGCCAGTTTGTGTGAAAGAGAGAGAGAGAGACAGACAGAGAGAGAGAGAGAGAGACAGAGAGAGAGAGAGAGAGAGAGGCACTGATACTGTAAGAGGAAGCTGCAAAGCTTAAACGATATGAGGTAAGAAAAAAAAAGCAAAACAAAACAAAAACGCTGCTCTCCTGCAGGAGTTCCTGTTTATAGCCTCATATATTTTTAACCTACTTTCTGTGACTGGAACAAGGCGAGGAGGAGGAGGAAGGAGTGGAAAAGTGTGTGTAATTGTGTGGCTGGTTTGAGGCCTGCTGAGTGAGGATTTAACCACACCATAATCACACCACCGCTTTTCCCTTTTTTCAGTCCCACACAAACCATTAACTACCCAGGACAGAAACAAAGCTACACCAGAAACATACAAGACCGTGAGCAGAGAGGCAGCACTGAATAATGCTGAACTGACTTTACTAGGTTTCCACACAAAATAATACACAGCTAGAATAATGAGAGGTATATAGATGTCTATGCCTAAACATTTTAAATGTGTTTCTATAACAAATATGAACAGTGTCCATTGTATGATTAAAAAAATAAAAAAAAATTAATACACACTTTCATTATTTAAAAATGTGAAATTCATAATTTTAGCAAAAAATCCATTGTAATGTTTTTTTATTATTCAGGTATAAAAATGTCTAACTTTTTTAGTAAAAGTAAACTGAACAGTTAAATATTCAAAAATATATTTAAAATTTGTTTTTATCATTACATTTAAAAAACATCAACATTTTCAGAAATTATTTTTTTAAATATTAAAATAGTAAAAACAGACCACCCAATAAATAGTTCTGAGCGGCTAACAAGGTCTCAGGATACGTGTATCTTCTTCAGCCCTATTGGAAAAGCATCTTATGTGGCTCCTAATGAAGATGCTTCGGAGAACGACAGAGAACATGTGTACGGCAGCAAAACAAAGGAAGGCCAATTTCAAAAATGAAAAAATAAAAAACAGACTTTTTTGGTTGGTGCACAGTTATTTTATGCAGTTATATTGTAGCTTTGATGTGTTCACCATTATTTTAAAAGCTGGAAAATAGCAAAAACAAAGAAAACCCTGCGAGCAGGAGTGACAATGCAGCTGAATCAGCCCCTTCAGATCAACTGCACTGGTTTACAATATTAGAATCAATTCTACAACACAAAAAATCCATTTTTCACTCTCATACAGACACAGCGCTGCAGCTGTATTGCATCCAGACTCTCTTACCTGTTTCTTCCTTAGTTTGCAGATCTGCTGCTCCACCATGGTGATCTCCCGGTCCACACGGTCCATGTTCTGGATGAGCTCCTCCTTGGAGAAGCGTGTGGGCACCAGGTCCAGGTCGGGGTCCACGGTCGCCGGGCTGACCGGAGAGATCGGCTCGATCTTCCCCATCGAGCTGCTGCTGCCGCGGTCCTGCAGATTAAAAACAGAGCCATTCGTTAATATTATCAGCATCTTTTATTGTTCCTACGTATGTTTTTCTATTTAAATAGACACTTTATTATATTGATAATATTCAAATATCCCAATCTGTAAACTGTCATGACTCAAAGAAGGAAAAACAGGAAGCATAATATTCATTTACTGCCTTAAGTCAGCATAACAGGTAATCCAAACCTGATCATTTCATTGAGTGTGTTTACGTGTACTTAATAATAATCCAATAAATAAATAAAACTCTGGGTCTACATGAGTCAGACAATAATCAGATTTCTGCTTTGCAACTAGCCAATAAACTCACAGAAGACATAACGTAAACATAATATAAACACAGCACCATGTTACCTGAAAATATGAACATACATCACCTAAAAGATCAATATTTAGGTATTTAAATCCCTCATTTCGTCAAGCATGTATTTGGTTTCAGCATCGCTCAAAGTGTTCTGCTGCATCTCGCGGCAACCTGCGAGCTTATTTCCAGTACCGCAGTCTGATTTTGCACATGCTCAGACTGAGAAATCCGAAAGAAATCAGAGTAAAAGTTTACATGCACTAAGAAATCTGATTAATGAGCTAAAAATCCAGCTCTCTTTATCAGATTTCTTAATCGGTTCTCTAGACCTCACTCCGATCTAAGACATCGGCGTGTGCTGTTTACACAACCATATGAATAATCAGATAACTGCAGAAATCCGATTAGGATGGGATTATTGAGTGCATGTAAACACACTCCTTGTTTTAGTGATTTATCTTTGGGTTTTCGGCCGGCATGATTTAACAGGGAAGTGATTTAAAAGTAAAACAAATCTTGATATCCACAATATCCTTATGGAATATTTGAGGAAATATTTGATAAAAATGTAAAAAAAAATTACAATATTTGACCGTTTACAAACTGCCTCATCCACAGAAAACATAAGACGAGAAAGAGAGGGTGCAAGAGGGAGAGACAGAGATCCAGAAAGACAGAGAGCAAGCGAGAGAGAAAGTAAGAGAGAGCGATACAGATACATAGCAAGAGTGAGAGAGGAAGAGAGAGTAAGCGAGAGAAAGAGCAAGAAAGGATATAGAGCGAGAGAGAGCTCTAACTCCAAGGACACTTTCTGAAGGCTGCTGGTGTTCAAAACATTCCTCGAGGCATCCCGAGCTTCAGTCACTTTAAAGCGGATTTCACAGAAAAGAAACATTTGATCTCTCTTTGGCTCTGTATGTCTCTCTCTTTGTTTCTCTCTCGCTTTCTCTGCTCTCTCTCTGCTCTCTCTCTCTCTCAGAGCTGTGGGGTCACTTGGGGACGCAGCGGACATTAACTCAGGTTAAACGTAATCAGATTTCAACACTAAACCTCAGCCAGTCATAAGTGGCGGATTATGAGCCTGTATGTGTAACTGAATCCTGCTCGCAGTCCTGAGTGTGTGGGCGGTGACCTTTGGACAAACACAGAAAGGTGCCAACACACACACACTAAAGGTGACGTGACGTCATGACGAACACAGCCAGATACGGCTGAGTGAGGATAAAGGTGTGTGTGTGGTAAAGGTATCGAGATGAAAGGCCACAGTTGCGGAAGCTCATCCAGCAGGAATTCTGCTGTTCTGCTCATGCTGGCAGACACACCGACACATTATACCCACACATGTACTGTTTACAGAGCTTTGCACTGCATTATGGGATCATTCCACTATATTAGCAAGGTTCATTTTATGTTTACATGCTGCAAATACTCACACACACTGTGAGTTTATTGTGTTCGCTGTTCAGTTGTGTGTTTTTCAGGCTTGTCATGCTTAAAAAAGTGAAGCTGGCTCCAGATCGCGCACAGACTGGTGAAAAGTAGCTGTTTTGTTATTAAATGTTGGATATTTGTGAACGTGAAAATTCAACTGATCTGGTTCTGCACTTTTAGTGACCAAAATGTGAAATGTTATGGCCGGGGCTCCGAGCAACAGCCTGTTTAAGGTGCACTCATTTGCGCACACAGCTTGTATAGTCTCCATAGAAAAGCACGGAGCAATAGAATGGGATGCTCTGGAGCCCTAAGGCCACCATGTCCAAAGCCAAGCATCGGCTAGACGGGTATAAAACCCCAGCACTTGGCTGTGGAGCTGAACTGTGTTCTCTGGAGTGAGGGAGCTCCATCCAATACCTTTAGGATGAGCGGGAGATCCAGAACTAATCACAGAACATCAGTACCTGACCTTCTAGTGTATATCTAGTGTAATATCTAGTGTAAAGCCTTCCCAGAAGAGTAGAGGCTGTTACTGCTGCAAAGGGAGACAAAATCCCTGTTAATAGAGATATTTATCACAACAATAATAACTATTCTACTGTAGTTCTACAGACTTTGTCCTGACATAAGTGCAGTTGGTATGCATATCACTATTCTACATTCAAGAAGAAGGGATGTCACTCTTTCTGGAGTCTTACATACAGTGTGAATATGACTAAAACATCCAAAAAGAAGCTCCAATATTAAATGCCAGGGGAAACCTGCACAGATGAGCCTGTTTCCACCGCACACATTTATGCTTCAAAGATATGACTGTTTTAGAATAGCCTCCATTTCCAGTTAACAGTCTTGTCTGGACAAGTTACACCACTTAACTGAAATCAGCCGTCCGTTCCAAGGAAGAGCAGAACGAGTCAAACAAACCAACACACATCACGTCAGCCATTACAGTGCTTACAGTCCCCCCTGCACACCCCAAATGCAGCCAATCGACCCAGACATGTTTGGCGTCTGAAGTTTGCTTCTTTAGTTCTGCACTGGAGCTACAGGGCTAATGCAGCTTACATGTAGATAAAGTCATCTGCACAGGAGCCACAAGTAATATAAAGCTTATAGACTCCTTAAATAAACATAACAGCATGTGGTTCCATCACACTGCTGAAAACAGCACTAGCAACCACACTGAGTCTGATTTTGTTCATGGTTATAGATACAGAACGTTATACAGTGGCAGACACCACACAAGCAAGTCTATTTGAGATTCCTTAACCCCACAGGCTTTGAGAGAAGTGTGTATTGATTTAGGCCTGCAGTTAGCACAATGGTAACTTGTGGACATAAGCTTCCATTTATTGCTAGCAACCTGTGTAATATATATGTTTGTGTTTTTTAACCTTTTTAACTCCTTGGACCCACCGGTGGTTCCCAAACGTACTTCGTCATATACTTTACTGCATAACTTTCCTCTTTCATAAGCTTCATTCAAAATGGGTGTCATATGAGAGCTGTAACTGTCTTCTTTCCAGTCAAATAGATGGGTAATGTAATTGTAAAACTTTATAATAAAAGAAGCTGAATTCACAACTTTTTTTTCTACTGAAAGTCGACCCATTTTTCCTCAAATCTGAGCTATAAACTGGATCTTAGATGGCGTCTCTTCAGTGATCTGCTTTGTAAAAATTACTTTTATTAAAAAATACAAAGAGCGTCTAAGATTTTTGGCTTTCAGTAAATTGTAAGCATATAGCAATATGTTTATGATCATAAAACACATTTTCTGTTAATTTGAGGGGAGCTTCTACAAAAAACTAAAAAATTAAATGAATAAAATTTACATTTATTTCATGCAGTTACTGAATAATTTGCCTTACGATTTGGGCATGTAAATTCAGACGGAAAAACCAAAATATACCCAGGAGAAAAGACACAACTGAGCATCTGTGAAAGTGTGACAAGCTCTGTATTACAGTTGTTATGTCAGTCAAATTTTCACAAGATGTACGTAAATGTATCTGTTTTGAGACGTAGAGAACTGATTCATGGGAAAGTGCAGCTCACAAAGGACACCTTCAAAATCTCAACTCATGCAAATCAAGCAAACGCTGACTGGCTTGTCGGCAGCAAAAGAAAGTGTCTTATCAGTGTGCTCACCTGACTTACCTCACATACATCATGGAAGATCAATACGGTGCTCTTTGGTGACAAGACTGGAGTTCACTCTACACCCTCTTACATATTAATATTAATAAAGTATTAATAATATACACATATTAATAATTCATAAGCGTGTCTTGGTGTGAAATTGACTTTTAGTATTGGGCTATTTGGTAGCACTGAGGGCAGAAAGAGAACGAACCAGTATTTCACTTGAACCAGAATGTAAAATTCAATGGACGGGCTCCGAAAGACATCCTAAGATAGAATATCTTGGGACTAATCTTCAAAATATCACAAAAACAGTAATGTGAGCATTAATTCTTGGAAAGAACATAATAATTCTGACCAGTGGTGCAGGTTTTCATTTCAACTGCGAGGCAGACACACTGTTCATAACACCTGACTCATGATTATTACAGATACTTATATACTTTTTATGTTACGTAAGGAACGTCTCCAACATTTTTTCCCCCAAACTGGACACCAAACCAAGCTAGACATATTTAAGAGTTACACAGACACAGAAGTACAGCTTTAGATGCAGAATCTAGTTTAATGAAGTAGATAAATTAGCCAGCTAGCTATTGCTAACAAACTAAGCTACAGCATAAGCGTGTTTAATCCACAAGAGCAACATCCTGCGGTAGATAACAAGCTGGTATTGTTTCACATCATCACAGGTAGCCTGCTTAGTATACCTCACTTTTTAACAGTGAGGTCAAGACCTGAAATAAAATACGGATTTGAACAAAATATCCTCTTTATTTGAGGCAGTTGTTTAAAGCCGCACTATGTATGTTTTGGCGATTTGGAGACCTCTTTGGTGGAAATGTGTAATTGCACTCATGGTGTGGGTGAATATTTTGTAAAGAGTGTTTTGCTTCGGACCCACACAGATGGGTGAATCTGAGTGTTTTGCTTCGGACCCACACAGATGGGTGAATCTGAGTGTTTTGCTTCGGACCCACACAGATGGGTGAATCTGATGTTTGCGAGTATCAAAAGACAACTCAGTGAAAACTTGGCGAAGAACATGCCTTCTGAGAATCTATTACTGTCATCGCCCCTTCATCAGTATACTGCCTAA